ACAACCCACTCCGTCGACCTCCGACGTTGCCATGCAAGGAGCCTGCAGCCGCCGACGGCCGCACTCCCTGCGCCTGAACGCCGCCGACTTCATCGGCATGTATCACACCTCTCTGGCTGGACGTGCCTCCCGCACTACTACCGACCTGGTCACCACCGGCGTAGACGCCCACGTCGACGCCGACCTCTGTTCACCGGTCGAGGAGACGCAGGTCGAGAAGGGTGCAACGTCGCCCACATGGTACGAATGCCAGCCTCCACAACCACCCAGGGGATCGTTCCGTACTCCTGGGCCCCATGGCGTGTCCTCGCGTCCTCCAGCTGTGCTTCTAGGGTCTCCATTCCCTAGGCGTCACCTACGCGTACGCTAGTGACTTCACGGCTGCCGGCCTACGAACAACTTAGGTAAGTGACCTCTACGTCAACCTGACTGAAAGGTAAGTCGTGTGCCGTCCACGCTCACCGCACCATGCGGAGATAACTACTACAACGGGAGCTAGACTACGGGCTAGGCACGGGTGCTCGTGTGATCTATGCGTTCGTTGGTCCTTAGTCGTTTCCTAGTGCACACACTGCTTGCTAGTTCATGGGGCAAGTTGGCAAGAGTTTCACTAGAAAAAGTTGACAACAATAGTACAATCAGATTGGCAAGACAAGATTACATCACAGCTAGCATTCAGGTCGGTCGTATGTCAGCGCAGCATGGTCGACCGCGTTCCAGCACGACATGGTCGACCGCGTTCCAGCAGTGCAAAGTCAATGGCGTGCCAACGGTGCAGGTCGACGGCGTGCCAGCGTTGCTCCCGCAGAACAGTAGCACACCAGCTTCGCAGGTGCTCGCAGATGATTGGCGTGCTGAGCCTCGTCACTTGCACAACGCACACACCAAGTCATCCTCGTGCTGACGACTCCACCTGATCCACCACGTCGACCTCGGGATACCACCACCGAGGTCAGTCTCGCCAACATCGCCTGGGCGACCGTCGCACTCTTCCGCAAAACCTCGTCACCCAGGTAACTTGGTCGACCGGGCAACCACGACGACCAGGTGCTCCTATATGTGCCTTTCGACCTCTTAAGTCGACGTTCACCTCCATTCGACCTCACCAGGTCAACCACACCCCTGGTCGACCAGCTCCACGTCGACATCGCTCGACCAGCTCCACGTCGACCAGCACAGTCGTCAGCCGACCATCCAAGCCGGCTACCAGAATTCGGCGTCACAAAGTCGGCGCCGACTTCCGGGCCAACCTCTTGAAGTCGGCGACCTCCCAAGTCGGCGACCTTGCAAGTCGACGACCTTGCAAGTCGGCGACCTTGCAAGTCGGTGACCTTGCAAGTCAGTGACCTTGCAAGTCGGTGACCTTGCAAGTCGGCGCCGACTTCCAGGTCGACGTGCCACATCGCCGACCACCAAGTCGGCGGCATTGCAGTGGCCCCGTGCAAGTCGACTAACCCCGTCGACCAGCTCGCCCAAGTCGGCGTCGCCCACTGCAACAAGTCGGCTGTACCTCCCGTACACCCAACTACGAATTCGGCTCCGCCCAAGTGACGACGGGGCCAACAACAACTCCTCTTGACAGATCCTTCCACGTCTTGTCAATCTCCTTGGGGTAGACGTAGCGGGTGTATGGGCGCGTGTGATTCTCCTTATCAAAGGTCGTTGTGTTTGCTTCCAGAACGAAACGGAGTGTGTCTGAGCGCGGTGTTGGGCGCTCCTGCCTCGTTAAGCCGAGTTTGTCGTCGCCTTCGTCGAAGATGCGATGAGCAGTCACGGCAAGCTCCATCTCGGTTATGCCTGTGGTCTCTTCTTCAGCGCTTTCCGCCTCTTGGATTGCCATATGGTCTCTTTTTACTTCTTCTGTGCGGCTTGCCGTGGGTGTGTGACAGGTGGTTCAGAGGCCGGGTGTTGGGGAGGGGGGGGAGTGTTTGGGGGAGCATAGGTGAGGATGAGATCGCGTGTGTCCGGGTCCATGGCGAGCATGACTCCATAGTCTCGGAGTTGTCCTCCCGAGAGCAAGTTGAAGCGGAGGTCTGGTACGAAGATCACGTCGTTGAATAAAATGTGAGTGTTGCTATCCCAAGCTTGCAGCACCACGATTCCTTGCACGTTGGCGCACAGTTGCTCGTTGTTGGCAACTGTAACGTAGGTAGCTGGAGCGCGGCTAATGTTCAAGACATATTGAACAGATCCCACCATGTGTTGGCCGCAGCAACTATCCAGGTACCAGGTGTTATAGTTGTCAATGTTGTTGTTGCGCAGAATTAGCGCGAGTCATGGAGTCACCAGTGTTGCTTTGAAGTTTATGTGGAACGACGGGTCTTCCATACCACAGGTATGAAGCGCTGATGCTCATGTGGTGGGCTTTCCTGCAGCTGTATTGGCTGATGGCAATCTTGCTCATCTTCGTCATACAAGTAGTAGTGATTTTCTGTGAGGGGGTTGTTCCGCCCTTCTTCTAGTTGAATGAGCCCGCCGCGAGGTTCTTCCTCTTCGTCAGGTTCAGCAGTGCGAGGGCAACGCCTTGTTGCCATGTTTGCGATCACGTTTCTAGGAGCTCCTGCCTGAAATCCTTGTGCTTGCTATTGTTGGTGTTGTGTAGGAGGACGAGAGGTTTGATGCTGGGGCTGAGAATGACGAGCATCTTGTCGGCCGACCCAATTGTTGTGGTGAGTGGAACTCGGGATTTGCATTGATCCGCTGAATGTCTGAAGACTTTGCATATTTTGCAATAATGGTGCCTTGGTTGTCGTCGCTCTTTACGGTTGTCTGTGTAGAAGGCGAGGCGCTCTTGGCGCAGCGCGGAGCTTGTCCTGCTCGAGTCCATGTTCTGTTGTTCAGTCAGGAGGGATGCGCATAGCGCGGCCTCAGAGATAATTCCGCACTAGCGCTTTGCAGGGCTTCCACTTTGGCCCAAGTCCTTGGAGGACGATGTTGAAAAAGATCTCCAAAATTGCACTTCCATGCTTCGTGATTTGGTCACGAATAGTCCGACAGCAGTTATTATTTGAGTTTGCTTTCTCCCCATGCCCCATCTTGGTCTCCATGAGTTGCTGCAGGAGCCTGCTTGCGGTGACCGAGTCCGTTGGCTGATATACCTCAACGAGGTGCTTCCAGGCTTCCAGGGCTGGAGCAGCGCTCTCTTTGTGGAACCGAATGCTGAGTTTTTCCGCAGGCGTCATATTTTGTAGCAGCACAGTGTACCCCATGAGGGACTCGCTGTAGTACTGAGCCCTGGCGGCGTCGGTGTCTTCCACCGGTTTTGCGTAGTAGTCGTCGAAGGAATGGTAGATCTGCGCTATTTGTAGGAGGAGCTCAAGCTCAAAACTCCAAGTGTAAAAATCCTTGCCGTCAAACGCGGCAGTAGTCTTAATTTTTGAAACGCTGAGAAAGCGTGCTTGCGCTGAGTTGAGGACTTCATCACTGACGGGGGGCAGTTGTTGTTGATTTGTCTGTGTCGGGGGAGAAGGTGTGCGCGGCGGTATCACGGCTTTTCGCAGCCGGTTGTTCAGGTTGAGCTGGTTGGGAAGAGGTTCTTGCATCGCCTTTGCGCAGTTCTTGGAGGTCTTTCTCCATAGTTGAGAGTCGCAAAAATAACTGCTCGAGTGCGGCAGTGCTGATAGTGGTTGTCGCCTCATTTGTCGCAGCCGCGTTGGTTTGTCCTTCGGCCGTCAGATTTGCTTGGCCTCCGGATCCTCCGGCCATCTTGGTCTTGGAGCGTATGCCACTCGCCAGATCTTGATTCAACGAATTTTACGGAAGTGAAGTTGCGAAGAATTCCTGAGTTGCTCTCATACCATGTTATAATCCCAAGTAGGACTTAGCGAAGGATCACTCATGGTTGATCGCGGGGTAGTGTTGCAGCGGAAGTAGTGACCTCAGATCAGAGTGAATGCAAATGACTGAGATTGATAATAGCATAGATACATCGGGTTTATATAGGAAATACAAAGGAATACGAAACGACCTAGACTAACCATGTACTCGAAACGGTACATTCCCTAATTGGAGCGAAGTTCAAACCGTGCGGCGCGGGAACCCGTTTCAAACATGTTCCATATTTTCACTTCAAATATTTCTGCCTGCATCGATCTTGATCAGACGGTTACCAGTGTCGCTTCGGCTCTTCTGACTCCTCCACTTCGTACTCGGTAGAGTCGGCTCCTGCTGTTGAGATACTAGACATAGCTAGGACTAGAAGTCTTAAGTTTAACCTAGGCAAGGAAGAGTTGTCCAAGCAAAGGAGGGGTTGTACTATAGAATGAGTTGTACAAATAGAGGAGAATCATGCAATGAGTGGTGCACCACCACAGAGAACACCTATGTGACTACACTACAGCTAGAACTACATGCACTTATACAAAATATATATATTATATATTCTGACACCTGCAGCATACAGGAATGCCTTCTCATTAAGTTTTATATCGTAACAGGACATTAGGCGAAAAAAAAATCTGCGTTGTCTGAAACTCAGATGAGCCAAATGCATTCATCTAGAAAAATATATGAAACAAAAAAAGTAGGTCCGAATTCCAGACTAACAGAGAACCAAATTTTAACTGATAACAAGTGCCCTGCTTCTGGTGCACAATGCCTTAAATGCCTGGTTCTTTCCCTCCCCAAGCATCTTACATGTGTCTACTGGCCAGGCATCCCAGGCCTCCCTTTTCATGTGAGAGCTTCAGTGAAGCAGGCCATGGCAGCGTTGAGCACCTCCCCTTCTCCTTTGTACCGCTTGCCGCTGAGAACCGCCTCCCCGATCCGTTTTTCATTTCCAATATGCAACTTTCCGTGACATATGGTACCAACCGTATATTTTGATGGTATCTCTCCAGACAGCTTCGCATTAACCCACCCACCATTGTTTCTGTAGCTTGTGTCTTTGGCTATCCTGATACACCTTAAGCATTGTCTCCAGTTCAATCAGCGCATCAAAGCAGCTTTAGTCACCACCACTCCCCACCCCACACCCATCCAAGACAACCAACAATCTCCCTTCACTCGTCATCCCACCTGCCCAGTAACCCCCGGGCGTCCTCCCTGAGCAGCAGCAGGGAGAGCAGGAAGCGCAGCGCCTTGAAGAGCCGCGCCTGTGCCTCCCCCACTAGCAGACGGGGCAGATGCGCGCTGGCAAGGGGGACAGGAGGAAAATGGTGGAGAGGTGGAAGGGCAAGGGCAGATCGGCACGACTAGGAAGGAAAGGAAAGCGATGCAGAATGGAATGGAGGAAAACAGGGACACGAAAGAGCATGAACTCGTTAGAGTTTAAAGGCGAGAAACAAAAAGGGAAATGTGTGGGATGGGAGGTGGGAGGAGAATGGTCCCACTTGTAGATGTCTCCAATGAACGGCAGGTGCGAGATGACTGGGTTGCGCTGGAAGAAGTCTCTCTGAAACTTCACTCGCTTCAGCTGCCGCACTGCTGCTGGCAGTGCTGCTGCTGTCCTTGCTGCCCCACGCCCCTCCTCCCCAGCAAACTGACTGCTCCCCCCCGCCTCTGATGCAGAGGCAGAGCCAGCAGTGGCAGGTGTGGGAGGAATGGCAGATGGTGTGGCAGCAGAGGGTTCCAATGTTCTGCCTTCCTTGGTAGGAGGTAGGGGAAGAGGTGTGAGGCCGTGCAAGGGATATTCCTCCTGGGGGAGTAGGGGAAGGGAGAAGATGGGGCGGGAACACAACGGGAGGAAAAGGCTGAGGGTGGAAGTAGAGAAAACAGGGTCGGCGATGGGTATGAGAGCTTGTATAAGGAAGCATCGGGATGGGAATGGGACATTGAGCAGGGTGTAATCAATGGTGGCATGAGAGACACGATGAACCATGGGATAATATGGTACACGGGTGAAAGAGCGTGCCATTGCAGCAGGATAGAAGATCGTCGCCAGTCACCTCGTTCTTGCAACGGAAGCTCCCATGGAGAGGGGCTTGCAGGGGGAGGGGCTTGCAGGGGGAGGGGCTTGCAGGGGGAGGGGCTTGCAGGGGGAGGGGCTTGCAGGGGGGAGGGGCTTGCAGGGGGGAGGGGCTTGCAGGGGGAGGGGTCGCAGGGAGAGGGGCTAACAGAGGGGGGGCGCTCGCAGAAAGATGGGACGTGGGCGTTACCAGTGGGATGTCCTCGAGCTCGAGCAGCACACAGAGGTCAAAGTGGGCGAGGAAGCCGAGCTTGAAGAGCGGGCGCGTGAAGACTGTGACGTAGAGAGAGAGTGCGTCCTCCACAGGGTCGTACAGCACGCGGTGCACTCGCACCCCCTGGTACTGCAACACCACGTGCGCCATCTGAGGGAGGGGTGGAGATGAGAGGGCAGAGAGGAGGGCAGAGGGGAGAGTGGAGAGGAGGTGGAAGCAGGGGTATGGAGTACAGCAAACACGCGGTGCACTCGCACGCCCTGGTTCTGCAACACCACGTGCGCCATCTGAGGGGAAGAGGGCGGAGAGGAGGCGGAGAGAGGCGGATTGGAGAAGCGGAGATGAGGGAGGAGAGGAGGGTGGGCAGGGGTATGGAGTACAACTGCGGTAATAAATAGCTATGTATTGAAACACCGCCAAACACCGATACCCCTGACGGCTCCCAATCCGCAATGGTGCGTCAGTCGTCAAAATCCTCACGTCTAACACCCCGACTCTCCTCCCCCTTCTCCCCTCTCTCCTGACTCCTTTCCCCTCTCCTTCCTCTCCTTTCCCCTCTCCTCCCTCTCCTTTCCCCTCTCCTCTCTCTCCTCTACCTGCATCCCCTACCTGCTCCACTTCCCTCCTCTCGCTTGCCCCCTCCCCCCTCGTCTCCGCTTATCTCCCCTCACGGACCTTCAGTCTACTGCAGCGCAGCAACATAAGCAGCGTCACAACACCCACTCCACCCCACCACACATAATTCCACCCCAACCCTTCCCACATCACGTCACCCCCCGTCACCCCACCTCACCCCACCCCACGCCACGTTACCTGGTAGATGCAGGTGAGGTCGGCGGCGCCACTGGCGACGTCTACGAGGAAGTGGGTGAAGCGCACGCGCGGGGAGAAGCACCGCCGAATCACCTCCGCCTGCCGCCGCAGCGTCGGTCGCGTCACCAGCGCGCCAATCACCGCCACCGCGTCGCGCCGCGGGTCCTCCATCCCCCACCGCCAACGCTCCCTCGCCGCCTGCCCTTCGCCCTTCCTACGCCGTTCGGTCACCCGCTAACTTCCGCCGTTTTGTCAAAATGGTAGGGAGTAATGCTCCTGCCTCGACCCGTCATTCACGAGTAGCCAACGCGTTTTACCCCGATGCGCCGATACCCGATTCCTCCGTTCCTCCTCTCACGCCGCCGCGTGATGGTTGGGCGAGGAACGGTCCGCCCGTCGAATCCCACAGTCGGACGAATTGCGGAAGACAAAATTTGCCGAGAATTCACGACACGAACTGCTCCTGATACTCCGCAAAACGGATTTCCCAGCGCCGTGGGACCCGCATCGCTGACGACGGTTCCTGCTGTTACCGCAAGTCGAGAGCTGCGGTGCCAGTCAGACGAAACCTCCTGCTGGCCCTTCGCAACGCCGCGGTGCTGCTGTGACGAGTTGAGAGGCAGCGATTCGTCGGCAGCGCATTGGTCGGCTGACGACCACCCGACCGATGACTCGCGATGAGCGATGAGCGATGGTTGGTTGTGTTCGACTGGGACGATGATGTGTGCATGCTCCTCGCAAATGGCAGTAACCGCCCAAACTGCGAATAAATTGTCTCCTGCGGACGCATATCGTACGTAACATGCACCTCCTCTTATTCCCCTCGTGCTCCTTCCGTCGCAACCTCGGCACACCTCGCTGCGCCAGACCACGGGGCATTAGGCCGCTGTGTCTCGGGCTTGGATCTTTGTAACCGAGAATGATTTTACCTCAACTTAGTGATATTTCTTCTCAGCCCAAGTCATGTGGGCAGACGCACGGCCATCAATATGGGTATTGATATTTGAGTGGTTGTAAGGGCGTGTAACTTTTTCCAATTCTGCCGGTCCGGGCCCATCGTCCGGACTTTCGTAGAGTTACTGAGATCGTGAGTATTCGCTTTGTCTTTTACTCGTCAACGGATTCTGACGATATCAGTAACCCTAAAAAAGTCCGGACGGTGGGCCGTCCGGACGGTCAGAAAGAGAAAAAGTACACCTAATGTGTGGAATGGACCAAACTATGAGTATTACACTAACGGGGAAATGAAGTTACAAATATCTGTTCAAGACTTGAACGTCTAAGTGTACCGTGATGCACTAAACGTTCTGAAATGTGTTTTTAGCGCTTGTTACCGAAGTGTTATCTTGAACAGAATGTAAAAAAAAACCATTTTGAACCGAGATGTTTTTGCATCCAAAATTCACAGCCAAGGGCGCGTGTGGTCTGTTTAGAAGTTCAAAATAAAGTTCGAACTTTGGGTGGTTACCCTATTCGCTAATTTCGCGAAGAGTGCTTCGCGAACCAAGCATTGTATGGGCTCTGCAAAAGTTCGAGTTTGAAATATGAACTTGACTCGAGTCGGAGGCGCGAACGTGCGTGCTCACGTTCATGCGAGCGTGTGTGATTTGCAGCACGTCCGAACAGCTGGCGAAACGGGCGAGCGCTTCGCCGGTGCATGAAGTTGCACAACGAAGACACCCCACAATTCGTGCACACAGTTGTAGCCACGTGTCCAGCATACAAGGTGTTGCCACGGGGGCTATTTGTACCCTGGTTACACACTCGGGAAAGTATATCCCAGCTCCATAGTTTCAAAAATATCTCAAATTTAGTCTTAATTTCACTAAAAAAAGTACAACTTTCTGGAAGTTATCTCACGCGAGGCCCAGATTATGTTCAAAACTTGTCCTGCGAGGCAAACTTTTCGACACGTGTCCTGTTTCTTATTGGCAATTTCTGACGGGGGCAAAAAACATAAAACCCCTAGGGGAACCAGGACACTGTGAGAATAAACGAACAGGGATGAAAATGACTAAGGAAAGATGGGTACAAATACTACCCTAGAAACCCTGTACCCCATATGTGCTACCCCACTATAGCCTACAACAACTATGTCATATAAATCTGACACACCCCCATAGGCAAAGTGGGGGAGAACAAGGGGTCACAAGACCAGTCAAGCAAAGCAAAGCAAGCTCAGGGTGGATCACAAAGTCACCACACAGTCCGAGCACAAGAGTAGGGCCAGAGGCCAGTTCACATGCAGGAGTACAGACATATATATAAAACTAGACAAACAAGAGCAGGCATATATATATGTCTCAGTACAAGTGAAGTCAAGAGGAGAGCAAGTGAGGCAAGACAGGCACAAGACCCAGCTGGGTGCAAAAGCGCTGATGGTCACAAGGCGCGAGTGCCTTGGTGAACACATCAGCAGTGTTGGCCTCAGAGGCCACGTACGCAAGTCGCAACTGACCACGCTGCTGCAGCTCACGAGCAAGGAAGTAGCGGAGAGCAATGTGCTTCGTTCTGTGCTCCAAGCGCTGCTCTCGACACAAGGCCGGCATAGCCTTGTTGTCTACGTACAGCACTGGAGGAGAACGAGGCGGCTCTCCAAGGTCAGTCAGCAGGTAGGTGAGCCAGCGAAGCTCCTGTGCAGCCATGGCCCCGGCGTAGATCTCAGCCTCACAACTGGAGCCGAGAACCGAAGACGAGCGAGTAGACCGCCACGAGACAGAGCCGGAACCAAGGCTGAAGGTGTAACCCTGTGACGACCGCTGCGTAGCCTGGTCGTCAGCCCAAGAAGCGTCCGCGTGGCCGGTAAGGACCACTGGACTCCGCCCTCCAAGCACTAGCCCCATGCCCGACGTGCTGCACAGGTAGCGCAATACCCTCTTCGCTGCAGCCATGTGCTCCGGTCTGTGTCTCCCAGGAGCAACATAGCGTGCAAGAATGCTCAGAGGGTATGCAAGGTCAGGTCGTGTGCAGGTCATCAGGTACATGAGGCAGCCAACAAGCTCTGCATACGGACCACTCGACTCTACGGACTCATCCGAAGGCAGAGCTGAGAGTGAGTGGCGAGTAGGTAGAGGAGTGGCCTGAGGCGAGGAGTACGTGAAGCCGAAGCGCTGAAGGACCTGCTGCACCATGTGTGACTGAGTCAAGGTAATGGTGCGGCGTGCTCTGTCCCGAGTGATCTGCAAGCCAAGGTAGCTGCGCAGTTCACCCAGGTCTGTGCACGTGTGTCTCTTCAGCAGCTCGGACTTCACGTAGGCGAGTCCAGCAGTGTCCGCTGTGGCAAAGACCAAGTCGTCGACGTACACGAGGATGTAGAACGGCGGCAGCGAGGTGTCGGTGCGCAGAAACAGCGACGGGTCAGCAGTAGAAGGAGCAAACCCAAGAGCCGCAAGCGTAGTCCTCAGTGTGTCGTGCCACTCACGCGGTGCCTGGCGGAGACCGTAGACTGGCCGTCTGAGGCTCTACTGGGTGCCAGGAGGGAAAGTCCCAGTGAAGCCAGGTGGACGGCGCAGCCAGATCTCCTCGTGCAGGCTACCCTGCAGGAACGCAGTGCTGAAGTCAAGAGAGTGAAGCTCGTAGTCGCGCTGAGCGGCTATGTGCAGCAGCACCCGAAGAGTGGTCATCTTCGGGGTGGGAGAGAAGGTCTGAAAGTAGTCAACTCCCTGCCGCTGACTGAAGCCACGAGCAACGTACCGCGCCTTGAAGACAGGTGGAGAGCCCGGCGGCCGCTTCACCCTGAAGATCCACATGCCACTGACGATGTTCGCCCCAGGAGGGGGAACTGCGTCAACGTAGGTGCCTGTGGACTTCCAGGAAGCCATCTCTGCATCCATAGCTGCCTGCCACTGAGAGGAGTAGGGACCCTCTACGGCCTCCGCGTAAGAACGCGGAGTCGGGATGTCTAATGCATCCGGGTCTCCCTCAGGGGCAAGTAGTACAGACGCGAGATGAGGTGAAGCAGCCGCTAGACACTGTAACTCCTCCTGTCTGTCCTCTAGGACGTCCGTGCCAAGAGCACACTCACCCCCGACGGACGGAGGACAGACAGACGCAGACTCAGCAACAAGACCAGCAGCGTAGTCGAGACGACAGCGAGCAGCAAAGTCAACGAGCTCAGCGACTAGAGCAGACGCAGCAGTGGACTCAAAAGAGGGGTCAGTGACGACAGTAGCAAGCAGACGCGTGACAGTAGGACTGGCAGCGCGAAGAGAGTCTGACTCAGGGTCGGCAAGCGCAGGAAGAGAGGACTCAGGAGGAGAAGGCAGAGGGGCACGCAGAGGAGCAGTGGACGGACGCAGAGACATCCGGTGCGTGCCAGGGACAGGAGGAGGACGCTGACGCGAACCGCGACCACTAGCGCGAGCAGCACGAACAGGCGACGCGGGACGAGACGCAGGCTCACGACGCTCAGCAAGACCTCCAGTAGGACCAGTGTAAGGAGAGGGAGCAGGCAGAGGAGAGGAAGGCTCCAACAGTGACTGCGACTGGACAGGCTGTGGACACTCTACCGAAGGAGAAAGACCAAGAACCTGCTGTAGGAGCGGAACGAAGTACGGCCGAGGCCGCGCGGCAGCTCCAGACTCAGCAGGGACAGCACCAGCACCCTCAGCGACAGCACCAGCGCCACCCACACCTCCAGCGGCAGGACCAACAGCAGTAGGCTCAGCACCAACGCCCTCAGCACCTCCAGCTCCAGGAGGACCCGCAGGTCCAGCAGCTCCAGGACCGGCAGCACCCGCACCCTCGACGGTCGAAGAAGCTCCAGCTCCAGCTCCAGCAGCACCTCCAGACTCAGCAGCACGCCTGCAGCGGCGAGCGTACCACTCGCGCAGCTCCTGTGGAGAGAGGGGCTCCCGGCGAGACGCAGCAGCAGGAGAAACCCCAGGTTCAGCAGCTCCAGACGCAGCACCCCCAGGCTCAGCAGCTCCCAGCTCAGCACCCCCAGGCTCAGCAGCTCACGACCCAGCACCCCCAGACCCAGTACCTCCAGGCACAGCACCCCCCGGCTCAGCACCCCCAGGCTCCGCACCCACCGCAGTAGCACCCTCAGGCCCAGCACCCCCAGCAGTAGCACCCCCAGGCTCAGCACCCCCGCGCATAGTACCCCCAGAGTCAGCACCCCCAGGCTCAGCACCCGCAGCCGCACCAGAGTCACCAGTAACCTCGACCGG